AATGCCATAACGGTTACTCATGGTGGACAGTGTTTGGTGGAGTTCCCAGTTTAAGATAGGTTTGGAAGCAGGTGTGGCATCCACTACCTAAACATGTCTCTGAATACTCCATGAACTTCGAAAAAATGATGATGGTTATAGAAAGGCTTCAGGTGTTTTGTTCATAGGGTGGCTATGAGTCATGCTTGACTCAACGGCAAACAGCAACAACAACAACAATTTCAGTATTGCAACTAAAGCCTTAAATTTGTTTTTCTAGTTTGAGAAATGCCAAGAAAGTTCTTCCATTTTGGTTTTCTAACTCCAGCTCTTTGCACAATTCATTTGTTTTGCCTCTAGGGCTACATTTCTGTTCCCTTCTCTTGCTCCTATCTTCATCTGTTCATTTCTGTTCTTCTGAATTACTTCCCAACGTTTTGGCCTCTATCCATTCTAGGGCAATTTTCAGAGTCTTCTGCCAACCATTTTGATATTTTCTTTCCTGTCTTTCTAATGACCTTTGGCTTTGTTCAAAGATGAAGTTTTTTTATTTCATTCCACAATGTGAATGATTTTTTGTCTTTAAAGTTCAGTAAATCTAATTTATTCTATAATTTTTTTTAAAATTCCATTTAGATAGATTCAAGATTAAATTTTAATTCTCATAGACATTTCCATTTTCTCCAGCTTTACATGAGTATACCACTAAATAAAGGACAAATTATGTAAAATTTGTTTTTATATCATTACTCCTGAGTGTTGTGCAATTTCCATTGTGAAAATGTACCACAGTTTCTCAATTTTTTCAATTGTGGGTATACATTCCGACATCTGTGTTCTTGTGATAGTGAATAACACTGCTATGTATATTGGTGTATAAATCTCCATTTGTATTTCAGTCCTAATTTTCTTGAGATGTATTCCAAGCAGTGGAATACCTGGGTCATATGGAATTTTTATGTTCAGTTTTTTTAGGAAATGCCTAATGGCTTTTCAGACTAGTTTTACCATTTTACCATCCCACCAAGAATGTGTGAGGGTTCCTCTCTCTCTTTATCTTCTCCAACATTTATCGCTTGGTATTCTGTTAAACTTTGACACTACTACAGGGTGAGATGGTTTATCACTGTGGTTTGATTTTAATTATTCTTATTGCCAGTGATTTTGAGCATTTCTTCATGTTTTGGTTGGCTGTCTTCCCCTCTGAAAGGTCTTTCCATATATTTTGCCTAATATGTAATTTTGTTATTAGACTTTTTCTCTGGATGCCCAGTAGTAGTAGTCTGTAAACTTTTGTTATGATGCTTTGTTTGAGAGGAATTACCAAATGCTTTTTTCTAGTCAGTAGGCTTTCTTTTCATCCTGTTAGAAAAAGGTCTTAAGGAACACTGGGACTTAATCTTTAGAAGGTCCCATTCATCATTTTTCTCTTTCTTAGTTGTTTATCTTTGGCTGTATTTTTCAGCCTATTTATACCATGGCCTAGGCCTTCTAAGTTACTCCTAGTTCATCTTTTATGATCTGTATGGTTTTGGGCTTTACCCTTAGGTCTCTTATCGAACTTGATTTTATTTTGCACATGGTGAGAGGTGTGAATCCTGCTTCAGCTTTGTAACCCAGTTTTGTCCACACCATTTATTGAAGAGGCTGCCATTCCCTATTTGATAGATTTTGTGTCCTTGACAAATATCAGTTGGGCATAGATAATTGGATTTATTTCTAGGTTCTCAGTTTTGTTCCATTGGTCTATATGTCTGTTGTTGTACTAGTACAATACTGTTTTGTTTATTACATTGGTGTAATAGGTTTTGAGTAACTGTGCAGCTTGGGAGGGACTGGAGAGCATGATTCTGATTGCACTAACTGTTGCATAAAGATATATGCTGTATAAAATCTATTATTTTAGAAATAGAAAGATAAGGAATATAATGTGTATGAGGATCTAAGGTTGGGAGAATAGGAGCAGAGGTAATGATGGGTGGGGCAACAGTCACAGGGTTGCACGAGGGAGGGATGAGTAAAGGAAATGGGAAAGATCCAGCAGGGATCTGGAAAGACAGGACATTGGTCGGCATAGTTCAATGTTGATTAATTTTCTAAAGTAGAATTAATCAGAATGATTGTACGAAACATAACGTGAATGAAGGATAATGTGAAACACAATGATTATGAACTGGAGTTCTTTTTAAACCTTTTCAAAAATTACAAATTTTTGTTAACTCTTCGCTCTCATTTTTCTATTATAGATCAGAAACGTTAGATGATTTATCTCTACCCCCACAAAAAATCAATTTTACGACCATTCAGTGCATCTGTGGTATTGTTCAATGTTGTGACTGTCGTATACCTGTGTCAACATCCAACCTCAACTCTACCTATCATATGCTTTTTGAAATCACAGCTGGTGGAGTAATTTTTCAATCACCTCCAATTTCATTTAAGCCCCAACATAACTGTAAGTTGTGTATTAAAAATAATAGGTATAAACAGTAAGAACACAAAGAGGTTAAAAACTGCTCAGAAACATTTATATTAACTTAATTTTGCCAATGACATATGAGGATAACTTTAGTTAGTAGATAACTTTGGAAATAGTAATAATAGCTTCTAGAGCAATTTAACAGTAACATATATCTCTGCAACAATAATGGAAACAAATCTATGTTTTTTTGAAAGTAGCTTGATTTTTAAAAATCTTGAGTGTCTAATGGATAAAATTAACTGTCTATATATCTACATTTATGAAGAAAATCAGAAGTTTTTTTTTTATAGCTTGAATTTATTCTTTCAGTAGCTGTTAGAGTCTCTTGTGGTTGAGGCATCCTTTAGGAGCTTGAGAAACAATTTCAAGTGAGTCAAGTTCCTGCAGGAACAGTAATGGGCAGAAAAATACAACTGGAGATAAGGAAATGATTTATAAACATGAGAATAAGAAAAGTTTAAATAACAGTTAATGCTTCTAATCCCTCTTTCTAGTACAAATATTCACAAAATTTCTTTTGATCAACTTGAATATATAATTGAATATATATGTATTATGCTGTTTTGTGCTGTTGAGTCAGAGCAACTCACTCACAGCTGACCTTCCAGCAGGTTTTAAAAGACAGTTAAGCACACTGGAAGAATCTGCCCATCTTTCTCCTTGATATTTTGAAGCACATTCCTTTGGATTGGTGTCACAATTGCTTATCTGCTAGACCACAAGGGGTTCCTATGAATATTTTACTCAATGGATAAATTAGTTACTCTATTAATCTGGTTTTATAAAAACCAAAAAATACAAATATTCCATAGGGCCACTGTTGTAAAATGGGATTGACATCAGTGTTGATGGAAGACAGAAAACGAGGGGAGGAATGATGAATATTGCATTGAAACAGATGAGAGAGAGAATTGTTTAAAAGGAATATATGAATGGGTATTGTTGTCATTAGAAAAGTCCAGAATGAAGGCTGCATAGTGGAGTGGACTTGGGGAAAGGGATTGTATAACAATAAAAGAATTTTTTCTTTTTCTTTTTAAGGAGAAGAGTGAATTGGGGGGCAGTGGACGGGCAGGGAGATGAATGAGTGGAAACCCTAAGTCTCTGTAAACTTTCATTAAAATCAATAAAAGAGAAAGAAAAAGGAAAAAAAATACTCACTGCCATCAATTTAGTTCTCACTTATAAGGATCCTATAGGACAGAATAGAACTGTTTCCTAGGGTTCCAGGGTTATAAATGTTTACAGAAATATACTGCCTCATTGTCCTCCATGGAGCAGCTTGCAGATATTGTCACTTACCCTTACAATAGCACATCAATTTGTAAAATACAATCCAACCATGGTTCCCTATTCAATTATACGTACATATTTTTCCAGGCATATCAGGCCATATTAATACGACACACCAAGTTTTTGGGTGTTTTTTCTTTGGTGGGGGACACTTTGTTACAAAGTTCAGTATACATTTTCTTTCACACTATTCTTTATTCATACTGTGTTTTATACGATCATTCTCATGCACCATGTTTCCTAAAATCAATCACCGTTGGACCATGCCTATCATTACCTTGTCTTTTTTTAATCTGTTTCAATGCAGTATACATTATTTATCTCTTCTTAGTGTCTCCCCAAACTGAGACATCAGTTCTGCTTTACAACAGTGGCACTATGCAGTATTTTTTCCTTTTGTGACTGAGATATTTCACTCAGCATAGTGTCCTCCATGGGCTCTTAAGAGAAAGCACTATCAAACGAAGTCTATCTGGGTCTTGAAGCACAGAGTGTCCAAAGGAGGGGAAAAAACAGCAAAAATGGATTATAGTTTATAGTTTTGTGATTTCTGTTTGCTGTCTTTGTTGTGTTTCTGGTCACTGATATCTATTGTTGTTGTTATGTGCCATCAAGTTGTCCATGTTTCATAGCAACTCTATGCATAGTCGCTCTGAAATTTGCTCTATCCTTAGCCAGTCTCACTGACTTGGACACACCTAATTCTATTGTGCCAGTTACCACATCAGTCCATTTTACTGGAGTCTTCTCCTTCACTGTTCCTCCATCCTTTATGTCTTTCCCCAAGTACTGGTCTTTACCAGTAAATTTTACCTAGTGTTTATAGTGTTTCATTTCTTTAATTTATGGTAATATTTGTAATATGCCACATAAAGTAAAACTAAATTTCGACTTAAAGGGAGAGAAAATGGGATTTAAGTTCTTGAAATATAGATTGTGAAATATATATCCACTACGTTGTTGTTATGTGCTGTTGAGTCACTGCAACCCATAGCAGCTCTGAACGCTGCCCTTTTCTGAGCCAGTCTCACGATTTCCAACACACCAAGCCCCATTGCCCCAGTTACTGTATCAATCCCTCTCATCTGGCATCTTCCTCTCCAATACATCCCATAAAAATCTAAAAAAGTGACATTTTAATCCCAATCATATCCACCAACTGCTACATTAGAGAAGTATGGGAAATCTCCTCCTGTGTGATATATATAAAATTCCTGTTCACTGTAATAACCTTGTAAATAGAAAATAACAAAGAGTAAATTAAATCAACTCTTCTTATCATTTAGCACTAATGTTGATGAATATCTTACATTCTTTTAAGTTCATAGTTGGAAGGGGAGGATGTATTGAAAATTAATTGTGACTTCATTTTATTGTTACGATTATAAGGAAAACTGTTTGACTAAAAATATTCTTTTCTTCCCCCCTCTCAAGTTAAGCCTGATCCACCTTCAAATGTACGTATGGAAATCACAGACAGTGGTAACTTAAACATTTCTTGGGACAGACCAACATCATTACCATTTGAACTTAAATATCAAGTGATATATGTCGAATATACTATAACAAATACAAACGAAGTAAGTAAATTTATGGCAAACAAAATTCATTATTGGAAGCAGTTGAAATATAGATGTGACTTTGTACATTCCTAGAGAATTTCCCTCTGTATGCCAAGTGTGCCTAATCCTTTGTGAGAAGGGGTTGCAATTAATCAGCATCATGCCCTTGGGAATGCTTCAATATTAGTATAAAAATGACCACATGAACAATGTTCCTACATCTTCTACAAAGTACTTTAAGAAAATGAAATGTGTAATTAGGGAGCTCTGATGGTTTAGTACTAAGAAGCTGCCCTACTAATTCAAAGGGGAATTGTTCAAATTCACCAGCTGCTCCTCAGGAGAAAGGTAGGCAGTCCTCTGTCATGTGAATTACATGCTCTGGGGGAGCTTTCATTAGTGGGTTCCCACCTCATGCATAACAATAACCATTATCTAATTCAGAGACAATTAGAAAATATGGACAAATATAGGCTGCTGAGTGGAATCCACTTCCTAAATAACATGCCTCTAGAGACCCTATAAACTTCGATAAATGTCAATAGTTGTAGAGTGGCTTCAAGCCTTTTGTTCATAGGGTTATTATGAGTTGTACTCAACTCAAAGGTAATCAACAACAACAACAATTTCTCCTGTTAGATTAACTGCCTCTAAAAACCCATCAGAAGGTCAGCTATGGGATGGTGTTGACTCTATGGAAATCAACAACATTCCTTTGTTTAAGTTCTAGAAACATGTGCAAAAAAGTGTAGTGAAAACTTACAAAAACAATGTTTTTCACTACTGAGTTGCTTTCTCTTTGATATACTTCTAAAAAATAACAAATTAACATATGTCTGACTTGAAAGTGACTCAATTGATATTTTAGATGTAATTTTGAGCTTCAGAAAATATTTTCCTCAAAATTAACAGATACATTTTTACTTTTCTTAATAGTTAAGAACATGAAATTACAAATACTGCATAGTGCTGCTTTTGTAAAAGGGAACTGACATAGGGGCTTGGGGGGAAGACTGAGAAAGATGGGATAAATTATGTATACTGCATTGAAACAGATGAGAGAGAAGTGTTTAAAAGGTATATATGATTAGGTATTATTATCATGACATGAGTCCAGAACAAAGGCTGCATATCGGAGTGGAGTGAAGGGATTGTATAACAATGAAAATTTTTTTCTTTTACTTTTCAAAGAAAAGAATGAACTGGAGAGGTGGAGTGGGCAGGGAGAAATGTGCAACAATGAATGCATGAAAATCCAAAATATCTGTAAATTTTCATTAAAAATAATAATAATATTAAAAAAGAAAAGAAAATGCACACACAATCTATTTTTAATCATAATTATATACATTTATGATTGTAGACAGCTACTCTTCCCTGAGATGAATTTACTCAATAACTGGTATAGTTAGAGGTAGGTGTGTCAGAGACATAATGTTAGCTCAGGATAGAGCAGAGTTCAGAGCTGTTGTGCATAGGGTGGCTATGAGTCACAGGAGACTTGATAGCACATAACAACTCTTCACTTAGCAATATGGTTATGTTCCATAGGCAAGGTTGTTATGTGAAATTGGACATTATGTGAAAACAGAATAGTTCCACTAAATCACAAAATAAAGGATGACTCCATAATTATACAACTGCCAAATTACATCAAATGTATCCTGCCTAATGACATCCTTATAACTGCCAACTTAACACCGCAGCCTAAGTTCCAACTGAGAGTCACGGCCCAGCCAAACTGATGCATAAACTTAACCGTGGCAGCCAGAAATGCTCTCCCCTCACACATCAGTATTCATTTCTTCCAACTGTACATCACAATGTGCGAAATAGCGAAATAATTTTTTTTTATTTTTAACTCTGGCTGTGACTGCAACATTTGTACCTTCCATTGTTTTATAAATTGTTCAGAAAGGCATCAAAAAATAACTTTTGGGTGCTTGGTTAGAAAATGACATTTATTTATTTACTAATTATTTTACGAAAGGTTTAAGAATTTTATGAAGGGTCTATTTCTTCTCTTTAAAGTGCTATTTTGATTCCTGCACTGTAGCTTATCCCTAGCTTGTATTTATCATTCTCCTCTATGGATCTCTAGCTTAATAGTAAGGAGTTACACTGCCAATCCAAAGTCACATGGTTTGAATCTACCAAGTAATATACATAGTTATATCTCTGTTCACTTCTGAACATTTTTTTCATGCTATATTACAGATTGTGACAGGATCTGGAAGCTTCCCACTGACAATAGCTGTAACCCTCACATATTGAGAGACCATGCAAGTCTTACCATTCAGTTACGATTTTTTAATTTTAAATTGCCATTGTGATTTTGTTACTTGGGAATATGGGTTACTGATGAATTTGCAAACATTTTTTATTGTTTGGGGTTTAATTTCACTCTGGAGTAATTCCACTAGGTTCTACTATCCTAATCCCTTTAAATTTATTGTGACTTGCTTATGATAAATTTTGATAAAGAATCCTGTCCTAATTATCCAGTGATTTTAAGAGAAAGACAGAACCATGAGTATAGCTGTGCCCACAAAGAAGAAAAAACAAAGAACAATGCCATCTTTTTAAAATTTTATTTATTATGTTACTGACTAAATTTTTTTATGATAGCATGCTAAACTCTAATATCTACATTTATAATACATTCTAAAAGTTTTGCTTTACATTTCTAAAAAAGAAGAAGTGCAACTAGGGGTCTCCCTAGAGTAAAGGATGGTGAAACTTCACCTCACATACTTTAGGCATGTTGTCAGGAGGGTCTGTTCCTGGAAAAAGTTGACATGATGGGAAAGGTGAAGGGTCAAATAAAGAGAAGATGACAGTGATTGTAACAATGGGCCGGAGCATGTCAGAGGGCGATGCAAGATAGGCCAAAGTTCAAATCTCTTGTTCACAAGATCACTATGACTTGATTGAAGGCACCTAGCAACAGTAAGTGGATAGCTTTAGCCAACAGAAATTACTGTACTCACCCAGAAACAATAATTTGCGACTACAAGTTCAAATTCAGGACATAGGCTTTAGGGAAAAGCTTTGACCCTCTATTGACTGGTGGAAGTTCGTTGCTTCTTTTCAGTACCTACAGTTAATTTGTGGTCTTAAGGTAGCCTGACAGCCATCTTCCCCATCTCTACTTTCTTCTGTATACTTAATGTGATCCCTTTGTTACTTGGTTTAATGAACACCTGATATTAATATGGCCTCAATAATATGACAAGGAAACAAGTATTCCCAAATGAGATTAGTGATTCTTTCATTTATAGAAAAAAAGATACATGTATTTGTTATCAATTCAAGATACAAAATTCATATGTTGAGAGTAAACAGTTCAGTCTATAATCATTAACATTAACTTGGTGGTCTGATGCTTTAAAGTTAATATTTATCATTTGACATTTATCAGGATATTAAGACTGTCTCAACTACATTCTTGGAAATAGGCAGTGCACTTCCTAAGACCATGTATGAGCTCCAGGTTCGGGCTATGGGATTGCATGACCCAGGAGTCTGGAGTGACTGGACCCCCATTTATATTTTTAACCTAGAAGGTAGGTGTTATGTTTCTTGGTGTCATTACTTCTTTCGGAAGAAAAAGACTTTTCCTGAATAATTCTTTGGTACATTTTAAGGTTTGTGGAAATTAACCAAAGGGGATCACTGGTATAAAATACTATTTACAGTTTAAATAAGTTAATATGTTAATTAAAACTATGTAAAAATAAGCATATAAAGACATCTAGATTCAGTTGTTTACATACTGATATTTTGTTTAGCTATTTTTTCTATTAAAAATGTTAATAAAAAGTTGCTAAATTAACAAATTCAAAACACCACTTGGATTATTATTCCTTTCATTTATATAAATGTCATGTATTTATTTGAAGTCAATTTAAAATATTAACATTCTCTTTCAGTTTTGTGTTTTACATAGTATAATAATTCTTTTCACTACAGGAGCTTTATTTTAAAAAGTTTCAGTTTTCATCTTTTTAAGGTTGTTTTAAAAATCAGACACAAGTTACTCCTATCTTCTGAGCTTTGTCTTAAGACGAGGTGCTATGGATGCTGAGAAGCCTTAGGAAAAATCAAAGACAGAAACTTTTATGAAAATAATTATAAACATATCTCAGTGAGTTTGAAGGATCTGATGTATAATAGAGCAGTTATAAGATTTTTAGTTCCTGAAGTATTTCAGTGTCGCTCAATGCATTTTGGTCCAGGGACTCTGTGAATTGCTCCATCTAATCTAATGCAAGCTCATTGAGATAGATTGTGATACAGATAAAAGTAGCTTTTCAGTCATCTCATATGTGTGTGAGAGTTGGACAATGAATAAAGAAGACCAAGGAAGAAATTTGAATTGTGTGTGGTGCTAGTGGAGAGTACTGAATATACCATGACCTGCCTTAAAGAACAAGCAAGTCTATTTTGGAAGACGTGCAGCCAGAATGCTCTTGGTGCAACTTAGTCTCATGTTTTGAGTTTCTTACTAGGAGAGGCTAATCTCCAGAGAAGGACATCATATTTAGTAAAGTGAAAGATCAATGAAGAAGTGAACTAACCTCAACGTATCTTTCCACAGTGAGCTCAATGACAGCAGAAACAAAGGACAGGAAAAATTTAATCTTTAGTACATGTTGCTATAACTCAGAATCCTTGAGGGCACCTAACAACAAGTACTATGAAATAATAAAATGTTGTTGTTGTTGTTATTAGGTGCCATCAAGGTGCCTGGGACCCATAGTGACCCTATGTACAGTAGCTCTGAACACTGCCGTGTCCTGAACTAGTCTCACTAATTTCAACACACCAACCCCCATTGCCCCAATTACTGTATCAATCTATCTCATCTGGAGTCTTCCTTTCCTGTGCTGTCCTTCACCCTTCCAAGCATGATGTCTTTCTCTAAGTACTGGTCTCTGCTGGCCATGTGCCCAAAGTATGTTAGAGGGAGCTTCAAAATCCTGGACTCCAAGGAGAAACTTGGTTTCACCCTCTCCTAAACAAACCTATTTGTTTTCTTGGAAGTCCAAGACCCTTTTCCCACACAATCACCAAAGGCACTGATTCATCTTAAGTCATTTTTAGTAATTTTCCAGCTTTCTGGAGTGTATCAACCATGGCCTGGTTTAGGTGCATCTTAGTCTCTAGTCTGGCATCCTTATTTTTCAGCACCCTGGGGATGTCCCTGGCAACAGGCAATACGTCTTTTGATTTCCTGACTGCTGGTGTTAAGAGTGTTGTTTGTGGAGCTGAGCAAGTTGTAATCATTAACAAACTCAATCTCTTCCTCTCCTTTAGCCACCCTCCTCTGTTTCAAGCATGATGTCCCTCTTCAAGGAATAGTGTCACTTAGCAACATGCCCTAAGTATGTAGAACAATAATTTGTCAATTTTGCCTCCAAAGAGCACTCTTGCTACACCTTCTTTAAGATATATATGTTGCTTGTTTTTTTGAGAGTCCATAGGCTATTCAGTATTCTCCAACACTACAACTCAAAAACATTAGTTCATCTGTATTCTCCATTTTGTGATGTAACCTCTATATCTGTTAATGAGGCAGAACTACTTTGGGGGGGATTGACTCACACCCTTACTCAAGTCATCACCCTTGCTTAAGTCAAACCCTTGCCTGAGTCATACCTTCTATTTTCCCCCCAAGAACTATTTTTATTGATTTTCTTACAGTTATTAATATTCCCTATTTTTCATGCATGTGTGTTGTGTTTTCTACAACAAAGTGAAAACTTTCATTGGCACCATATTGTTGTTGTTGTTGTTATGTGCCGTTGAGTCATTTGCGACTCATAGCGACCCTATGTACAACAGCCCCAAACCCTGCTCTATTCTGTGCCAATCACATTGCCTCTGACACACCCATCCCGATTACCCCAGTCACTGAATCAATGCACCTCATAGAGGGTCTTGTCCTCCTGCGCTGTCCCTCTACTCTACCCAGCATGATGTCCCTCTCCAAAGACCTGTCTCTCCTTGCAACATATCCAAAGTATGTCAGACGAAGCCCCAGAATCTTTGCCTCCAAGGAGTAGCCTGGTTTAACCCCCCTTTTATAATCTTATTAATAACTTGTAAGGAAGCTGCTCAATAGCCTTCTTCTCAATATTCTTCTTGCTCAATATCCCTATTTTAGATACTCATTTTTCCCCATCCTTATCAAAGCAGTATTTTGAGAGAACAAGCATGTATCACTTTGGCTGAAGAATCTTCTGTTCAGTTTGGAAACTTTGAACATCTGCATCCACAAGGAAAGTCCAGTTCAGAGCAAGCCATCAGGCTGCCATGGTCAACACTACCTCAAAGTGTGGAATCATCTGGTTGGGTCAGGACAACTCATCCTCAGCCATCTGTGGTTCAAATGGGAATCAAAGCTGCAAACTTAAGAGTCTACATATATCCCTGTGTTTCAGACCTGTTTGTCCCTTCACTCATCCTTAGCCCCCACATGGAGCCAACTCTGTAGCCCTAGGGACCCTCATGATACCCTGTTCTGCAAGTCAACACCCACATATCCCTCCCCCTTCCTTATGCATACAATTGTGCATACTAGGTAGACAGTCCTGAAGGAACACATCAAAGCTTAGCTTCTTTCTTCATTGTTATGTCCCTCCTAATTCTACTCCAGTGGATCCAGATGATTGGCATGAGTGAGTATACTTGCCAACTCCCTTTAACTTCAAGTCCTGGATCTGTGCTCTGATGGGCACTAACTTTACTCTACCTCAGAAGCTAGACAGTTTATTCTAGTTTTAAAAAGTCAATCTCACCATGCCCCTTCCCTCTTTTCCAACTTGTCTTTCTTTCAAATATGAATCTCTTTAATCAAAAGTTCAAGGTGAGTCTACAAATCCATTCAAGCTTAAATATCTTCAGAGAACTGGGTGAGACTTAATCTGCACCTTTGACTAAACCTTAGCACTCACAACCAAATTCTACTTTTAACAAGCTTATGTCCAGGGCAGATTTTTAGTACTTTTAGTCAGGTACAGGTCAAAGGCTGAATACACACTTTTTAATCCATTATATCCAGTGTTTATTTATATCAGTATATATATTTTTATCTCCCTCAACTTCTTTTTTTTTTTTTTTTTTCTCCCTCAACTTCTAAACAATTGATTTCCATGTAATCACGGGGCGTGGTGGTGGGAGACAAGGATGGACAATCTCCTCCCATGCACTTAACTGTCACTGAAAACCTGCTGGAGGGTCAGCTATGAGTTTGTCTGAACTCTGCGTTACAGAACAACCACGTAGTCATCCATGTACACTGTGCACTATCTAAGCAAATCGTGCCCTACACAATCCTTCATGCACACTGTATTTTTTATAATTAACTACTACCCGTGCCTATTATCTCACTATACCCAAGTCCCCAGTGGACATTTTTCCCATTCTCTCTGCCTCTATACCCACTGACATCCATCATCTCACTGATCATCTCCCCTTTTCCTTTATCCACCCCTCTCTCAGATGTCTGTATTTTGTTTTCATGCAATAATTTGTTTACAGTGTATTTTTATTCCTATACAAGTGTTTTATACAATCTTTCATTTACAGTGTGTTTTATACAACCAACCATTTATTGCTCTTGTTGTTGGGTACTGTTGAGTCAGAAATGAACCATAGTTGGTGCTCCAGCAGGTTTTCAGAGGCATTAAGCACACTGGAGGAGATTGCCCTGTCTTTCTCTCATGGAGCAATTTGTGGTCTCAAACTGTGTTCCTTCAGGATTACCATGCAGCTTCTTGCTACTAGGCACCAGAGATCCCTAATCAATCATATACCTTGTATTTTAAATAATTAATTACTGATGATCTATGCCCATTGTTACATTTTTGTCTTTTCAAGGCCCCATTGAATCACTCCTATTCCTTCACTTCCTCCCCTCAGTCTGCCCACTAAACTCTGCTACTCTAATGATTTCCAACTTCTCCTTTCTCAGTCACCTTCCCTCTGACTCCTTCCCCATTTAAACCACAATTTCTGTTATATAAGAGATAAAAAGAGTGAAGCAAGCAGAGAGGAGAGAGCCTGACTGATCTGAGAATGGAGAACATTCTTTGGACTTAGGATCTTTGTGCTAAGAACCTCAGAGACCTATGTGAAGATTGGTGATAAGAAGGACCCTCCTCCAGAGTTGATAAAGATAGACAGCCTTCAGAATTTAGACTTCTAACCTCCTCTAGTGAGAAGTACATATCTCTTTGGTGAAGTTGTTCACCAGGTTCACCATTGGCATTTTTTTATTAGGCACCACTATATAAATAAAGTATGCACCTGATTCAGGCCATAGCCTTCACAATTGCTTGCTATGCGTCAAAGAGCTGGACAATAACTAGGGATGATAGAAAGATAATTGATGTCTTTGAGCTGTGGTGATGGATTGAGAGGAGATTGAAACTGTCAATTTCATCTTACTAAGATCCACTATTAATACCCTTGGTACCAGCAGTCAGGAAATCAAGAGACATATTGCACTGGGAAAATCTGCACTTGAGCACCTCTCCAAATTATTGAAGAGTAATGATGT